GCTCGCTGGTCTCTCGGCCCCTCGCCCTTGGGCGTCTCTCGGTCTCGCTCTGTCCGCTCACGGCCGCCCGTCCCCCGGCCCTCGGTCCGTCTCCCTGCCCGCGGCCTCTGCTGCCCTGGGTCTCTGCGCGCTCACTGCCACCGCGGGCACCCAGACCTCTCCAGCATCCTTCCTCTCTGCCCTTGATCTTGGGGACACTAAGGACAGTTGAGCCAGGGGACAGACAGGCCGGCTGGGCTCTCGTTCTTCCTTCCACCTTTGGAAAACGGATGTTTGTCCGTCCCGCCCCTCCCCCCCAGCCCTCTAGGTCCCACAGTTGGGGGAGGGTGTGCGGAGGGGTGACAGGAAGGAAGGAAGGGAAGATTCGAGGGGAGCATCCCTTCTGCCAGGTCTCGGAGGAAGCAGCGGAGAATGGACGTGCGCTGACCTTGGACTTAGCTCCTCGCAGCGCCCCCAGGCGGGCAACGGGAGAGCCTCCCGGGAGGCTTGGGATGGGGCCGATTACCTGTCTCCACCTCTCCTTGCTCGCAACCCCTAGGCTTCCTCTTTTAGCCGAGTGGGGAGCTCTGCTCCTGAGCGGTACCTCTCCTGCCTGATCCTGTCCCCTGGATGCCTGGCTTTGTTTACCTTCCTACACGACCCCGGCCCCCATCACCTACCCCAGCCTGTCTGTGCAGGCTGAGCCTTGAGTTACCTACGACGTGCTTATTCACAGCCCTGACCCTGGTCCCACTCCCAGCCCCCGGAGTCTGTCTTTCCGTGTGGATGGCGCCCAAGGCAGGTGGAGTTTTGAAAAACTTCCAGGTGACTTAAATGTGCACCCCAGGCTCAAAACCAATACGGAGCCATATCGACTTCGTGTGACTCACACACTTGCAGTTCATCTCTGTGCAGGTCTCTGTGTATGCCTGTGTCCGCTATGCGTTTCTATCTGTCTGTACGGACCATTGACTTATTTACAGCTGACCATATCACTCATTTAGCCAGCACCCAGCCATATCGTCTTTCAGCGGACGTATATCAGTATAGTTACGTGTGTTCATCCACTCAGTAACTCAGAGCACTGTTAAAGAAAAAGTTATTCATGATATTTGTCAAAGATGGTAAAGACTTTATTCAAGAGACTAGTGCAGTGGGGTCTGCAGTAAGGGAGACAGATCAGGTTCAACTCCAACTACAATAAGGTCAAGTGGAGATTCATATAGCCAAGAAGCAGGGTGGGGCCGTGGATGGAAAATGACTAAGGAAAACATCAAGCTGAGCAGGATTCTTGTGGAAGGCAGGCCAGGTTGATAAGATACGGAGGTAGGCCATGAGGAATTTGATCAAATACAGCGGATGATCAGATACCAAGGGTGGAGGATCTTTTTTTTTTGCTGAACCGGCTCAGCAGGATTGTTGCTAAAACTGGACCCTAACAAGGATGGAGATGGAATCCCAAGGTCGAGCCTAGTGGAGCAATGGGCTCAGAGGAGCTGACTCAGGTTTGGTCCAGGAGGAAGTCTGTTAGCACCTATTACGTGCCCGGCACTGTTCTAGGCACCAGGGACAGGATGCAGCAATGAGCAAAACAATGCCCTTCTCCTCTTGGGCAAACCGCTATATAACATGTCAGGTAACAAGTCCTGGGAAGAAAAACACAGTAGAGTAAAGGGAGAGAGAGGGAGACAGTAGGTGCCTGTTATTGCTGGTCTTATAGCTGTCCCCACCTAAATGTTTCACTTATTTATCTAGCTTTCCACTTGATGACTGCTGTTTCTACTAGCAATGGCTAAAATGTCCTGAGCCCAGTCAGGGCACGTGCCGAGGTTGCAGGTGGGTCCTCCAGTCAGGGTGTGTACAAGAGGTAACCAATCGATGTTGGTTTTTTTTTCCCTCTGTCTCTTCTTCCTTCCTCTCTCTGAAATCAATAAAAACATGCTAAAAAATAAATGAAAAGATGCCAGGTTCTCTCTTGCCTCTGGGTCACAGCCAGTGACATCTCTGGAGCTCCCTCCCCTCCTCTCTGTCCAGCTAATTCCTCCCTCCCTTCCTCTCTGTCCAGTTTAGTCTTCAGGTCTTCCTTTGGATGTCTCCTTCTTTCGGAAGTCTCCCACCTCCGCGTCAGAGCCCAGGTATCCCTCGGCATTCCCCACATCCCTGAGTTTACCCCATTAGAGCAACATCACACAACATTCTGTCTAAGCATCTTAATCACACGCATCTTCTCCACTGTGCTCCCACGTCCAGCCAAAGGGCTGGCAATCAGAGATAGCCGTTAAATGAATGAATGAATGTGACCTTACTGAAAATTATATTTTAAAAACTTAGATGTGCCCAGCTCTTCGCAGTGATAAAAGGGCCACCACGCCAAAGCCCGGTGACTCTGGGAAGGCAGGGATTCCAGCCCCATTTGTAGAGGGGTAAACAGTAAACCCGGGACAGCTTGACGTGGTGGAACTTGATTCCAACTCAGGTCGGCCTGACTCCAAACCCGGCGTTTAAAACAAGGCAGAGCGGGACGGTCACACCTGACTCCAGCTCTCACGGGGACACACAGTCTGATGGGGGAGACGCAGCGCTTTTGCAAACAGCTCCCGAAGGAGGTGCAAAGTGGCAAGCGTTTAAGAGGATACTGTGGGGAACGCAGAGGCGGGGGCGTTTGAAAACGGGAGCTCGCAGGGCGGTAAGGACTCGTCTGCGGCGACCCAAAGGGGTAGGGGAGCCAAACACGTGGGCTCGCGGTGGCCGCATCTTCCCCACACCGAGCGCCTTGGAAACATGACAGTTTTTCCTCGGTCCCTTTAAGAGCTGCCCCGCCTCCCTCTGCTAAGCCTCCAGTGTCAATCTGATCCCTCCGGCCAATCATAGGAGAGGAACAACCCCTGTCGTGCCTCAACCGCACTAGGGGGCGGGGCAGAGGGAGCGTGGAGGCGCCGTCGGTCACGTGACGCACCCCTTGGCCCCGGAGGCCCGGGCGGCGCGGCGCGGTTCGGAGACGCTCATTGGCTAAAGAGCGACGTCGGCCGGCGTCAGCCCCGCCCCCAGCGGCCGGGAGGTTGGTTGCGCGGCCGCCGGGGAAGGA